CAAACAGCAAGATCACAGCTCACCAACTCAAATCCCCCAGCAACTAAGACTAACCTGAGCACAACCAAGCCCCCACCTGAACAGAACACGCCTCCAGCCAATCAGAACACGACCAACCCCCCAACCAATCAGAACACAGCCAAAACCCCTACCAATGAGAACACACCCCCACCCAATCAGAACACAGCCAAGCCCCCACCCAATCAAGTCACACCCCCACTAGCAGTTAAAAGGAAGAAGCAGCTGCAATCTCACATCACTCAGAGAAGCACAGAGCTGAAGACAGAAGCCTGAAGATGATGAATGAGACTTCATCGAAACGTTGCCTAGATACTTCGAATCTTACGCAGGAGAAAACCCGAACAACCAAAGATCCACATACAAATACCCGCGAGAACCTCAGAAAACACACACACACACACACACACACACACACACACATATATATATTCTTAAGTTTTCATGGGTACTTACATGTATGTTATTCAGCTTTATTCGGGTATTTTCCCACATCATTGTAGTTGTGCTTTTAAAGTTGTAGCAATGTTTCGGCAGAATCTCATCTTGCTAGCCCCAAATTTAAAACTGAAACCACTGTAAAAGTCTGACTCACAGACGAACACAATACAGAAGCCTGATTATGGCAGATGAGATTCTGCCGAAACATTGCTACAACTTTAAAAGCACAACTACAATGACGTGGGAAAATACCCGAACAAAGCTGAATAACATACATACATACATACATACATACATACATACATTCTTATATGTATCCATGTATTCATAACTATGTTTTTACTTATACCTATTATTTTGTAAGCAATTGACAAACAAACAAACAAATAAGTAAATAAATAAAATTCCTTGGATGAAAATCCTAAAGGGGAAAATAACTCAAGAGTCTTGGGAAACTCTGAAAAGTACAATCATAAAAGCCCATACCAGCACAATACCACTGAGAAATAAAAATAAGAAATCCAAAAAGAAACTAACATGGCTGTACAAAGATCTCTGACAAATTAAAAGACAAAATGACAAAAAATGGAAAGAGGGACACACAACTAAGGCAGAATATCAGCAGATAACCAGAATCTGCAAAGATGAAGTCAGGAAAGCAAAGCCTCAGAATGAACAAAGACTTGCAACAAAAGTCAAAGATAAAAAAAGTTTCTGCCAATATAACTAACAAGAAAAAAAAATCAGTCCACTAAAGAGAGAAGATGGCAAGGAAGTAACAGGCAACAGAGAGAAAGCAGAGCAACTCAACTCATTCTTTACATCGGTTTTCATGCAAAAAAAAAAAAACTACAGCTCAACCTACAGACTAGAAATAAAAGTTAAAATAAGCAAAAAAATACTTTTTAAATAAAAGTTTTATTAATTTTCAATAAACAAACATACACAAAGAAAACACAAAACATGTAAACATAAAACTTCTTTTTGGAAAGCGGCTTAGTCCCGGGTTACATCTTTTTGTACAGACATAAATCAAATTCATGCTCACTTTATATACCATTTCATATCTTATTTACCATTCTATATTTTCTATATAGCTTTCCCCCTCTTTTCACTCTTTTAATTCTATTTTATTTATTTCATCTCAGTTTAAATAATTATACTTGTATCTTTTGTCCGTTCTATTTCAATTATCAATTTATCTTTTCTCTTTAACACAAAATTTCTCCTGTAATCACTGATTGAAGTATGACGCTTTTATATCTTTCCCCTATAATTAACACTTAAAATAATATATAGTTTTCATTCTGATTCTGCTTAGTACATTCTCTAAAGCTACGTAGTACATTTTAAAATAAGAAAATAATAAGTTTATAATATAATTAAAACAATAATCCATAACAAATTAAACTATCATTAAATCTTAGGCATTTTACACATTCCCTTTAATATTTTATTAAATCATATAATGTTCCAGTTTCCTAACTTTGTTTCAAATACAGATACAACAATACAGTCTTATGTACTTTTGCAGAATCTCTTTTTTAATTATGTTTTTACCCTTTATCTCTGAAAAAAAACCTGTTTCTTTACATCCTGTTTCAAACCTTTGTAACTTCTCTTCACTTTTTCCCTTCCTTTCTTCTCTGATCTAGCCTCCCCCCCCCCCCCCGGTCTCTTGATCTCCATCCTCTTAATCTCCATTCTCTTCTGTATTCCTCTTTTCTGTTGCTTTCTGACATTGTATCGATTTTTCACCTTATTTTTCTCTTTTTGGGTTGTTCTTTTAAGTCTTAAATTCTCCATTCTCTTTTCCCTCTTTCCCTTTTCTTCCCCAGTTAAAGTTGTTTGTTGATTAAAGATGGCTTCTTCTTCTTCTTCTTCCTCCAGACCTTTTTGTTCTTGTAATTCCTGATAGGTAGAAATCACCATTTTTAAGAAATGAAAAACAGATCCAGAAGAGCCCTTCCCTTCTTGTTCCTCTTCTTTTAGCTTTTTAAATTCCACTTTCAGTTCTTCAACAGATAATGCCATTGTGAAAAGTTTTTTAAACAACCCAAATGTTTTTAATCTTTCAAATAATAATTTCCAAAGGTCCCAAAGTCACCAAGCAATCCAAATAAACACAATCTGTTTCATTTAGCACTTTCTTCTTTTTATACTTTCTCTTCCTGGGGTACAGTTCAATTGCAAAGTTCCAAAATGTATCTTTTAGAAGTCTTATTACAGTGTAACTCTGATCTTATAAGCTCCAAGCAGCCTCCTCCAGCAAAGTCTTAATATTAATTCTTTACCTCTCCCTTCCCACTTATAGCAAAAAAAGAATTTTTTTTTCCAGTTCCAATGTTCAGAAATCTTTAATGTCCCCTTGGCTTTAATTTTCAAATTTAATTACCTGCTGATGCCAAAATGGGTTTTTTCTATTTCCATCTGCTATCTCTGTAGGGAAGGAGAGTGAGAAAAAACAAAACTTTCCCTTTTAACTTTCATCCGCCGCTTTTTATGATCTTCTTTGGGAACAATGTATCTTTAATAGAGTTAAGTTTCCAGGGTATTTAGATGTTACTTGTTATCCCAGTTCAGCCAAAAAGTTTGACTTTCTCAGCTTCCTCTTGCACATTCTTATCTGGATGAAAGCTTCTTTGTGGTGGCCATTGCTGACCGCCGCTCCACCGCTTTTGGAAAAGGGAGTTAAACCAGCTGAGGAGGGGGGTTGCGATTCTCCCAGACCCCTGCTGGATCTCCCCTGTCTTCAGTCACCTCTACGGGGTAACTATTAGCCCCCAAATCTGGCTGGATTGGGGGTACTCCAGCGGCAAGCACAGCAGAAACCGTGCACGATTGTGGATTCCTGCTGCCGCCAAAGCCTTGCAAACCAGAAGTCCAACATATGTCTGATTTTAGTGAATACAAATCACTGGGACCTGATGGATTACATCCCAGAGTTCTAAAGGAGCTGGCAGAGGTCATCTCAGAACCACTGTACCACATCTTTCAAAAATCCTGGAGCACCGGGGAACTATCAGAGGGCTGGAAAAGCGCTGATGTGGTTCCCATCTTCAAAAAAGAAAAAAAAACAGACCCAGAAAATTACAGACCAATCAGCCTAACATCAATATTCAGGAAGGTACTGGAAAAGATAATTAAAAACCAGATCTGCCAACATCTAGAAATGAGTAAAGTAATAACTAGAAGTCAGCACGGGTTTTTAAAAACAGATCATGCCAAACCAAACTTATTTCATTCTTCAACATAGTGACTAAATTAGTAGACCACTGAAATTACTGTGGACATAATATACTTAGACTTCAGCAAGGCGTTCAACAAAGTAGACCAGAACCTACTTCTTGGTAAACTAGAAAAAAGTGGGATAGATAGCATCATCACCAGATGGATTTGCAACTGGCTGACAAAATGTACTCAACAAGTTGTTCTTAGTTGTTCTAAGTCTACATGGAGGGAAGTAAGTAGTGGGATACCACAAGGTTCTGTCTTAGGCCCAGTACTCTTCAATATCTTCATAAATGACTTAGATGAGGGAATAGAAGGGGAATTTACCAAAATTGCAGATGATACTAAGCTGGCAGGAATACTTAACACTCTAGAAGATAGGCTCAAGATCCAGATTCCAGATGGACTAGAACACTAGGCCCTATTTAACAAAATAAAATTCAATGTAGAGAAAAATAAAGTGCTACACTTACATAAGAAAAACCAAAAGTACACATATAGACTGGGTGAACCAGGCTTCATAGCAGTAACTGTGAGAGGGATCTTGGAGTCTGTGGATAACCAGCTAAATATGAGCCAGCAGTGTGCAGCGGCAGCCAAAAAAGCCAATGCAATCCTAAATTGCAAAAACAGAGGAATACAATCAAGATTAAGTGAGGTACTAATACCACTCTATAAAGCCTTAATAAGACTGCACCTAGAATACTGCATCCAGTTTTGGTCACCACAGTATAAAAAAGATGTTGAGATTCTAGCAAAGGTGCAGAGAGGAGCAACCAGGATGATTAGGGGACTGGAAACAGTGATGGTATTCTACTGGTTCGGCCCCGTTTGGGCGAATCAGTAGTAAAAAATGTTACCGTGTAGCTAAACCAGTAGTAAAAAATAGCTACTGGTTCAGCCAAACCGGTATTTTGTTTTCCCCCCCTCGACAATCAGCTGTTCTGATGATCAGCTGGGCCAGGATCCCCCTCGCCCAGGATGCTTCCCTGAGGCCCAGGAGGCAAAAAAGGGGTGTGTTATGTTATGTACAGAATAACACTTGAATAACAAAGGTATGCACATGGAAACGTTTATGAGAATAGTTATGAATAATTATCCAGCCACACACAGATACACTAAATTCAGTTAAAGTTTACTTCAAGAAATAGCACAGTCCAAAAAACGGTCCAGGTCATATACGTTTAACAGTCCAAAGAATATCCAATTACGAAGTGTTCTTACCGGTTGCCTTTATCATTTACAGTAAACAAAAATATCAAAATATAAGCACAACATCAATACAACAGAGAACCTTAGATAGCAACAGAATGTCAGAGAGAGAGAATGTCAGAGAGAGCAAGCTATGATCTATAGCTCCCACTTATGGTAATTTGCAATATAATCAACCAATCGGAATATAGTATAAATCAATACAGTGATTTTGTCTTAAAGCTACAAACATACATTGTTGGTTTATATATTGCCAACCCAACTAATTGGTGGACAGATTCCTAACATTCTCCCCTTTGGGAAGGTCAATAAATAATCTTTAAACCATAATTCTCACAACACTCTTTATGCTTAATTGCACCTTGAGCTTTCGTGAAATGATCTGCAATATTATGTTCAGTCATGCAATATTTTAACTGAATTAATTTATTTTGAACACACTAACGTTCAAATATCTCAAATCAGTATGTTTAGACCTTGTTTTAACAGCTAAATTAGTAGCCATATTAATTACAGATTGATTGTCTTCATAAACAATAAACGGATCACGTACAGTAATTCCAATATTCTTCAACAATTGTTTATAATATATCAATTCTGTACACATTAATGATAAACATGAGAATTCCGCTTCCATAGTGGATAAACTAATATGTTGTTGCCTAATAGACTTCCATCCTATTAAAGCATTACCACTATACCTGATGTTGACTTACGAGTCATTATATAAGTAGCAAAACTTGCATCAGCATATGCAGTTAACACTAATTCATTATTTGGTTCTAAATATAATGAATAATGGATTGTGTGTTTTAAAAACCCAATTATTCACTTAGCTGCTTGCCAATGCCTTTCATTTGGTTCAGTGTTATACCTAGCCAATTGGTTTACACTGTAAGATATATCTGGTCTAAACCAATTACCCAGATATGATAGATTACCAATTAAGGATTGATATATTTCCTTATCAAACATAGGACTTTTGATATCACTATGTGTAAATTCCTTACTCATTAGTGTCTTAGCAGATTTACAATGCTCCATGTTATAACGTTTTAATAATTAGCTAATCTTCTTGGCTTGTGAGATTTTAAAACCTTTATTCGTTTTCACTATATCAAGACCCAAATAATGCTTAATTTCCCCTAAATTTCTAATCCTGAACTTTTTCTGTAATCTATAAACAATGTCATTTGCTCCTTGTTCAGTTTTAGTTATAATTGCTGTGCCATCCATAAATAACAGTAATAGAGAAAATAAATCATCTTTTTCTCTTTGGAACAAACAAGGATCAGCTATACCAGCTTCAAAACCTATTGAAACTAATTCCTTTACAATACATTTATTCCATTCATAACTAGATTGCTTTAGACCAGAAAGACTTTTCTTTAATTTCCAATAATCATTTTTTCCACCATCCTTTAAACCTAATGGCTTTTTCAGATATTATGTTGTAAAGGTGCATGTAGATATGCAGTTTCAACATCTACATGGTTTATTTTGCATTTATTCTTAGCTGCCCAAACTAATGCTATTCTCAATGTATTTACTCTCAGACTAGGTGCAAACATTTCATCATAGTCCTTATCTGACTGAGCAAATCCTTGAGTAATTAATCTTGCTTTATGAGTAATAGTCCCTGTTGTAGCTTGGAGGTTTGAGCCTGCTTTGTTAGAGGACGAAGACTTGGACAATGAGGAAGAGGAGGATTTGGCTCTGAGGTTTGAGCCTGCTTTGTTAGAGGATTTGGAGTTGCCTTCCTCCCCAGGACTTTCCTCCTCGGCAAGACCTTCCTCCCTGATTGTGCCTCAGGTGTCGGCAGATAACCAGAAGGGCGTATCAGAGCCTCTGACTGAGGATCAAGCTGAGGAATGCTGGCTTGATGCGAGGTAACGGCGCAGGCAAAAGTGTGAGCTGCAACGCAGAAAGAAAGGATGAATTAGAGACTGAGATGAGGGACTGACACGCCCCACAGGGAATAAAAGTGGGTGTGTTCGCTCTGGGAACTTGTTCGGGACAACGTGTTACTTAGTGAGAGAAGCTTCGGAGTATCCTGTGTGCGGTGACAGCTTGTGATTTACATTCCTGCTTTCTTGTCAGACTTGGCAGACAGCTTGTGTGAGACTGCCAAGAACTTTATTGGCTCAAGGAATTTAACCCTGTAATTATTGGACTTGCTTGCTTGTTTGTATTCAGTTGGAAATTTGGACTTCTCACCTTGTTGGTACAGGTGAGACATAACAGTCCCATCCACACCAGTCTTTATCTTATACACCATTTGCAATCTATTGCACGCTCACCTGGTGGTAACTTTACATCCTCATACACCTCTAAATCCTTTAACGATTTTAACTCCCTATTCATAGCTTCCTGCCAAGCTATGTGATCCTTCGTAGGATACAGTTTTATTTCATTGAAGTTAGAAGGTTCTGTATTAACCTGACATGCAATGCTTGCTTGAAATCTGTCAGGTGGACGTCTCTCCCTAGTTGACCTCCTAGGCAACTCAATACATGTTGTTGGCATGTCCTTCTATTGATTATTCCTCCATTGAGGATTCCTTCACTATCTTATCATCAATATTATTATCATCAGGATTATTGGTAAACAATGGAGTCTCAACAACAACACTATCCTATACCTTATTATATTCCTGTTCTCCAGCCAACATGCTCCAGAAATTTAGCACTTGCACTGCAATATACATTAGTAATACCTGGCTCCCAAAATCTAAATGATCTATGATTAGCTTCATAGCCTACAAAATATAATTGTCTCGCTCTATGTTGTCTCTTTCGCCTTACTTGCATGGGAATATGAACACATGCTGGGGTTCCACATGCATGTAAATAACTGATATCTGGCTTTTTTCCATTCCAATGAGTAAATGGTAATTCACCGCTTGTTGAATTCACTACGTTATTCAAAACATGGTTAGCACACATTATTGCTTCACCTCAAAGTTCCTCTGATAAACCAGAATCCGAAATCATAGTCCTAGCCATAGCGTGTAATGTTTGTCCTCTATGTTCAACATATGAGTTATGTTGTGATCTATAAGGAGGAGAACGCTTATGTTCAATGCCAGCTTTCTGTAACATGGCTTCAAAATTTCTATTGGTAAATTCAGTACCATTATCTGTTACTAAGCTAATAACTTTCTGTTTCTTTTTCCTTTCAGCAAATTTTAGCCAGTTTACAAAATGCTGGTATGTTTCTTTCTTCATTTTCATTAAATAACAGAAACCATATCTGGAAAAATGATCAATTATATTTAATATGTAACAGGCTCCACCTAAACTAGGTTTCTTAGGTCCAATAATATCAGCAAAAACAACCTCAAATGGTTCACTGGTTTTGAATCCATTTACCCTATTTGCAGGAGTTACCTTGCTTTTTTCTTGATTGCAAACATTGCAATTTAAATACTTTGTACAAGGTTTTAATTTGATACCATTAGATAACTCAACAGTTTTCTTTAGCATTTAAAAATTTATATGTCCCATACGTCTATGGAGCAGATGAATACATTCATCATGAGGCTTTTTATTCTCATAGACTGAGTTAGCATTAATTAATGGATTATCATGTATAATAAACAAACCATTATCCAATCTTGCAGTAACGCTTTTACCCTGTTTTTCAATTAAACATTGATCTCCCTGAAAGGATACAACAAATCCTGCTTTTACCATTGCTCTTACAGATAGCAAGTTAAATATCAGTCTAGGTACATATAACATCAGGAAATGTTCATTAATACATGAACAATATGAAGTACCTTCTCCAGATGCTCTCAATTTCCATCCATTAGCTAATGATACATGCTGTTTACTCTTTGTCATGTTAACAAACCTCTCTTTACTTTTAGTTATACACTGTGATGCTCCACTGTCAACTACCCATATATCATGGTTTACAGTTGTAGTTGTACTTGATATGGCTAAACTAATATCTTTATAAGCTCTCTGTATATTAATAGCATTCTGGCTATATGACCTTTAGCCCCACAAGAAAAACATTTCCTAACAATATAGGCAGTTGAAGACAGTTTTTCTTCCTGTGGTTGTCTTTCTCTCAGTTGATTTCTATCTTGCCTTCTCTTCTAACAGTCTTCCAGTTATGCCAGTCAATATAAGTTCATCTCTGTTTAAAACTTCCAGTGAAGACACATAACCATCATAAGATTCATCCAAAGAAGAAAGAATGATGTAAACTTGATGCAACTCTGAGAAAATCAGCTCCTTTTCTTGTAGCTCTTGTAAAGTCCTTTTCTTAAGCTCCAAATGAGCTAACATATCGCCACCTTTTATAAGACAGGCTCCAAACAGTTTATGTGTAAGGTGTATGTGTGCACCCACACTATCTCGAACATAAATCTTCTTCAAAATGTCCCAACATCTAGCAGTAGATTCTTCACCACGAATATGGACTAGCTGCTGATCACTCAGTGTCAGTCCAATTATACTAAGAGCCTTTTCATTATCCCGGTTAAAGTCAGCTATTTTCTTTTTATCTTTATCATTCAATGGGTCCCAAGCTGTTACATCCGGTGGACTGTAATATACTGGTTGACTGTTCTTATGCCATTGGTAGTTTAACAATACACCACAATCAGCTGTCTGAATATGAAAATGTATATTCACACTGATTCTCAATATCTCTCTGGGCTCATAACCAATGTTATGATATGTACAGAATAACCCTTGAGTAACAAGGATATGCACATGGAAACATTTATGAGAATAGTTATGAATAATTATCCAGCCACACACAGATACTAAATTGAGTTAAAGTTTACTTTAAGAAATAGCACAGTCCAAAAAACGGTCCAGGTCATATACGTTTAACAGTCCAAAGAATATCCAATTATAAAGTCTTCTTACTGGTTGCCTTTGTCATTTACAGTAAACAAAAATATCAAAATATAAGCACAGCATCAATACAACAGAGAACCTTAGATAGCAACAGAATGTCAGAGAGAGAATGTCAGAGAGAGCAAGCTATGATCTCTAGCTCCCTCTTATGGTAATTTGCAATATCATCAACCAATCGGAATATAGTATAAATCAATACAGTGATTTTGTCTTAAAGCTACAAACATACATTGTTGGCTTATATATTGCCAACCCAACTAATTGGTGGACAGATTTCTAACATGATGTGTGTGTGCTGCTGCTGCTGGGGGAAAAAAAAGCCATGCCAATCCAGTCACATGGCCATGCCCACCTAGCTACACTCACCTAGCCACACCCACAGAACTGATAGTACAATATTTGCATCCCACCCCTGCTGGAAATTAAAACATCTGAAGAAGTTACAGGAACTGGGCACGGCTAGTCTAGTGAAGAGAAGAACCAGGGGAGATATGATAGCAGTGTTCCAATATTTGACGAGCCACCACAGAGAGGAAGGGGTCAAGCTATTTTCCAAGGCACCTGAAAGCCAGACAGGAATAATGGATGGAAAATGAACAAGGAGAGATTTAACCTGGAAATAAGGAGAAACTTTCTGACAGTGAGAACAATCAACCAATGGAACACCTTGCCCTCAGAAATTGTGGGAGCGCCATCACTTGAGACTTTCAAGAAGAGATTGGACTGCCATTTGTCAGAAATGGTGTAGGGTCTCCCACTTAGGTGAGGGGTTGGACTAGATGACCTACAAGGTCCCTTCAAACTCTGTCAATCTGTAATCTACCTTTTTAGCACATATTTAGATCCTTCTTTTCCACAGTATCTCCTTTTTATTCTTCTCATAATTGATCTAAACCATATATTGCTTAGAAAGTTGTGAAAGTATAACATTCGCCTGCTATAGATGTTAACTCTAAACATAAAGATGGTAGTGTATACAGATAGGGAAACAGAAATAGTATATTTCTTGCATATTCCGTGAAATATTTGAAAGAATGATTAAATAAGGTTAAGCACAATTATCAACTATTATGAACTCCATCGATCCCTCAGTTCATCCATTAAACTGGATTGAACATGAGCCCTGTAAATGACTGGTGAATTGTTCTAAGATGATGTAAAAATGATGACTTCTAGGGATAATAAAGACTTTCCACACAAAACCTACTGTTAGAAGATTTAGATGTCTCATTCCCAGCACATCCAATGGTTAGATCAAATTTTGGCACCATGTGTCTTTTCCCAGTGAATATCCATAGTAGCAATGTTTGGAGTGTTGGTCTTTATTTTTTAACTTGAGTAAGGTGATCAGAGAAGCTGTTTCTTTTCTAACATTTTAAAAATCCCACAGTGCTTACAACAGTGTTGGGGTTTTTGTGTTCTAGTAGTCTAGCATTTGATATTGCTTGGTCTGCTTATCCCTCATTACTTAATAATTGCACTATTTTAGGATAGAGAATGATCTCTGAAAGACTTCTACACTATATAAATTATCTGCCAGGAATATCCATTTGATTCATGTGAAGTATATCAAATATCCATGTGCAATATACCATGAAATAACATATGGGTCTTTTTTATTCTTTTCACTCCCTATTAGAGAGATTGAAAATCCTCTAAAATGATGTTTAAAATATATAGAAGAAATTAATAAAGCTATCTCCTGCATCAATAAAGTTATCTTCTACTTGTTCAGGGCTGGGTTCCAAGTAAGATTATCCTTTTTTTTACAGTAACAAACCTTTCTATCAGAATTTTGTTGTTATTGGCATGTTAAAATTCTTCTTCATACAAATCTGCTTTTTATACTATAAATGCCTATGTGGTAAAGTTAGCAGCTGGAAAATGATATTTATTGTCTTGTAAGAAATGGGATGGGGGTGTAGCTCTGATTATTCACTAACATTGAGAAAGTGAATCCCAAAGGTAATAGAGTACATTTCAGTTCAGAAAAGTGTATAATATAGATTATAGGTAGAGATGTGATTCAGCCAGTTCAGACCTATTCAGGTGAACCAGTTGTTAAAGAACCAGCTAATTGCACCACTGGCTGGCCTGCCCCGCCCAGTCACTCCTTATCTCATTTTGCCACCTTGGCTGCAGCATAGCTGTTCTCTGGCTCCCTCGCACTACACGCACTACAACAAAGTGCATATCCGGTCCTGGTGGTACAGCACCTATTACATTCTATAGGGGGAGGTAAAATTTTTGCAAAACTGGACCTTTCTCAAGCCTACCAACAGTTACCAGTTGACCAAGAAACAGCAGAAGCACATACAGGGGTGCATTCAAATAAAACAGACTGCAATTCAGAGTTAGCGTGGCCCCAGGGGTATTCCAGAGCTTAATGGAATGCCTATTGCAAGGAATAAAGGGGGTGGTACCATACTTTGATGATGTATTAGTATCAGCCAAGGACAAAGGACAACTGAAAGACCACCTAAGGGAGGTCTTAAAAAAAATTAAAGAGGTGGGACTTAAAGTGAAAAAGGAGAAGTGCCAATTAGTCACCGACAAAGTTGAATTCCTGGGATAACTTATAGACAAAGAAGGGATCCACCCCACTGAAAACAAAATCAGAGCAATAAAGGAAGCACCTAGACCCAATAATAAAACAGACTTGCAAACTTTTTTGGGACTTATTAACTTTTACAATGTATTCTTGCCACAGAAAGCAACGATAGCAGAATCACTGCACAGGTTGCTTGACAAGAATGCTACCTGGGCCTGGGGGCGAGGAGAAGAAATAGCATTCCAGGAAATAAAAACCTTACTTATATCAGACTGTTTGCTAATACAATACAGCAAGACCCTTCCAATAACACTAACATGCGATGCATCACCATTCAGCATTGGTGCCATACTCAGCCATGTATTACTCAAGGAAGAGAAGCACCTATCGCATTCTACTCAAAAACTCTATCCAAACTGGAGCGGAATTATAGCCAACTAGACAAAGAAGCATTGGCCGCAAAACAGGAATAAAACGCTTCCACGAGTATATATATGGCAGAACTTTTTCACTTGTCACAGACCATAAACCTCTCCTATGAATCCTCGCAGGAAACAAAGCTACACCTAACATACTGTCACTGTGAATGATGAGGTGGTCCGAATTCCTAGCTCCCTATAACTACAACTTAATCTACTGACCAGGAAAGAACATAACACATGCTGACGCCCTGAGCCATTGCCCCCTACCCGACTTAGACGATGATCCTGCACCAACCACATCAACCCTTCAAATTGAGACATTGGCAAACCTACCCATAACAGCAACAGACATTGCTATGGAAACTGCAAGAGACAGAAATCTCGCGCAAATTTTAAATTGGATAGATAAAAGTTGGCCAGAGACTGCAAGCGACGAGACTGTCAAACCATTTTGAAATAGACAAACAGAACTATCGATTTTAAAGGGATGTATACTATGGGGGAATAGGGTAGTCATACCAAACAAATTAAGAAAACGAATACTTGAATTATTACATGAGGGTCACCCGGATATTGTCAGAATGAAATCCCTGGCTAGGAGTTATGTAAGGTGGCCAGGGATGGATAAAGACATAGGGGACTGGGTAACAACATGCAAACGCTGCCAGGAATCTAGACCTACACCCCCCTCTGCACCAATAAACGAATGGGAAACTCCTAGGGGACTTTGGTCTAGATTACACATTGATTTTGCAGGACCAACTAAAGCAGTGGTCCCCAACCTTTTTTGTACCAGGGACCAGTTTCACGCAGAAACACTTTTTCAAGGACCGGGTAGGGGCGTGAAGGTTCCAATAACAGTAAATAAATAAGCGATGAACCCATAACTTACCCTTTCCAAAAAACCTCTCCAGTGAACTCTGTTTCTGGCTCATTTTGTGAGGGCTAGCTTGCATTGCTGATGCAGGATAAATACGCGCCAAAGAGTCAAGCGCGGAAGTTAGGTGAGGGCGGAAGTGGTTGTCTTTCAAAATAAGACACCCGGAAGCAAAAACATATTTTTATATATATTTTAATCACGATTATTCATTCTTTGCGGCCCAGTACAAAATGATCCACGGACTGGTCCCGGTCTGGGCCTGGTGGTTGGGGACCCCTGAACTAAAGGACACACATTCTTAATAGTTGTAGATGCTTACTCAAATTGGCTAGAGGTAAGCGTCATGCACTCAACCACAACAGAAGCTGTAATTAGACAACTAAGAAAACTTTTTGCAACACATGGATTGCCGGATTTAGCTGTATCTGACAACGGACCACAATTCACGGCAACAACATTTGAGGGGTTCCTAGCAGAACAAGGGATAAGGCATGCACTAACAGCACTGGGACATCCGGCCACGAACGGATGGGCAGAACACATGGTCTGTTACACAAAGGAAACACTACACAAATTGGGACCTGGGGATATACAAGAAAAGATAGACAAACTACTAAGTATACAACACATGACACCCAACACCACAACAAATAAAAGCCCAGAAGAATTATTAATGGGAAGGAAACTAAGATCAAACCTAGACAGACTACACCCCACATATAGCCCAGAAAAACCAGCAGACTCCTCCAGTAAGTGCCGCACATTCAAAACAGGGGACCTAGTTTATGCAAAGAACCTCATGGGGGAACCATTGTGGATACTGGCAAAAATAACCCAAATAACTGGGCCCCGGTCATACAGGGTAGACACTGAGGACGGGAGGAACTGGAGGAGACACATAGACCAACTCAGATCGAGAACCACACTGAGAAACACAAACAATCATGAAGAAGAAGGGGGAGACCCCTCAAACACAAGTGGAATGGGAGGGGGAGACCCTCCATGAACCTCAAGCAAAACAACCCAACCAGAGGAGAGGGGGGAGACCCCTCAAACACAAACAGAAGGGGAGGGGGGAGACCCTCCACAGATAAAAGAATTTACAAAACAAACCCTAACAACTACACAACAACCAATACTAACATTAGCCCCAATCAGAATTCGCAAACAAGTACCTGAGACTGTAGAAGAAAACCACTCAGGGAGACTGGAGCAGGCTTTGAAGAACCATCGGCAGGAGGTTCTTCAAAGAAGGACCTTCTGGCGGGAGTGGCCAAGCCGACTCAACCAGTGAGGAAAGGCCTGGCGGGAACGGCATGGCCGGCTCTACCTTCCAGGATGTTCCACAGAAAAGGACGGGAGAAACAGCAATCTCATCCGAACAGGCCAGAGGCGAACTCACGACTGAGTTGCGCAGGTCCAGTAGGAACCATAAGAGCACTGCCTACCTACGTGACTATGTAACATAGGCGAGGCACGGATTGGTTAGACTGGACCACATGTGGAGAGGTGTTATATATTTGCATACTTACTTATGATTGGTTGGACTGTGGCAGAGGGAGATTTGAAGAGCTGTCATTGGCCGCGAGCAGCTGGCTATAAGAAAGGCTGCCGTGGTTTCTCCGGTTGCTCAATCCTAGACGAAAATAAAGAATAGAAAAAGTCAACTGGGTCCCGAGTCTCTTTCCCGTGATGCAACATTATTATAATTATGGGGACCCCAGGGGAGCATGAGGTATCTCTGTGGATTGGGGGAGGCTTGGATGGTCTGTTCCAGCACTAGGCCCCACATGCTGTTCCCCAGCCTGAGATACCTCATATGCATTTAAAGATCAGCTCATTTGATTAACAAATACTTTGGGGAAAGCACAGAGTGATCACATTCATTTAACATGATTCAATTAAATGAATCTCCAGGTTACAAATGTAATTGGCAGGCTCCTATTACATTTGTAACTGGAGGATTACCTGTATAATTTAAAACACACACACACACATATAAATGCATTTTGTAAGGAAGTTTGTTATTCTCTTGTATGGTAAGCAGCAAGTTCCACACTTCTTTCCCAATACTAAAAGCAGGATTCTGCTGCAGGGAGCATTAGCACATGTTATCTAAATTATCATGGTCCCTAACACATCCATTGTTTCCTTGGAAATGAGTTACTACACTGTAGTTCAGCTAGTCTTCACAGACTGTTTACTCTAGATAAATGATAGACATACAATCTATAATTATCAAAAACCATCACCACTGCACATAGACTAAAGGATTTCTATTTATTTTAATCATTGCTGGGAACGAGATAGTCTCCCTGTGTCCCACACTTTCAGTAAGTTAATCCAACAAGTCCTTCAAGCCAAGCCACTTCATTTTCACTAGTAATTACAGTGTTCATAGACATCTAGATCTTGAGGAACTATGAAATCTACAGATTCAATAGTAATACTTTGTTTATTGGACACTTTTTGAGAGGTTTTACAAATTATACTAGGATTATTAAGAGAACTAAAGGAGACAGCTAATGCCCTCATCAATTAAGCCTGAGAGTCACATGGGCAATATTCCACTAAATGACTGAAAAATTATGGGTATTGTGTAGCTAAGCATCCCTGCACACCAACAACAGAATCTATATAAGCCACATAATGAGAGTGAGGGAAGGTCTCAGGGAAGTCCTGCCTTAGCACTACATGAGTCACATGTCATACCCACCCTGGCCACGCCCACCCAGTCACATGACCACCCAGCCACACCTACTCAGCTGGTCATTAGGGCAGAGAACTGGTTGTGAAATTATTTGAATCCCACCACTGATTATAGGCTGAATATTCTGTAACTTGATTACAATAACATAACCTGTCCGATAATAGATTCTTCACATTTTATCAATTTCAAAACTCATGTAGATCATTATTACTTGTTCAACTGAAATACTTAATTCTGTCTTTAATCTAAAAGTGGTAAATAAGATTAAGGGAAATGTGTTTTTGATTGTACATCTGTTACAGGAAAGATTGAAAAGGAAGGAACAATAAATCCAAAATTATTACATTACATTGAAATGGCCTATGGTAGATTATATGGAATGACATTGTTTGTGGTTGTAACATTTATATACATTTTTATTCCAAAATTTGAATAAAAAAGCATATTTGTAGAAAGTTGTATTCAAAAACATTTTATGTAAAGGAAATCTATGTTTATAAAAGCCATATATAACATTCACTAGTTTGAAAGTGTTGTATATAGACATTTGCATACTCGTAATACTACGTTCTGATTGGACGACCACTGCCATCTAGCGATTGGTGGTTAACAACATGTTATGATTGGCTGCCTAAACGGTGGAAGGTTTAAAATGATGCCATTGGTTGCAAACCGCGAGTAGCCGCTATAAAAGAGGCTGCCGCGGCTCAAGTTTAGTTGAAGTTACTGACAGTTAATAAAGAGCTGAACTCAACTCCGGTCTCGAGTCTATCTTTGTTCTGGCGATAGAACAGAAAGTATACTTTAAAGAAAAATCTGTATAAAGCCCAGTTTATCAGGGAGGTTGAAGCATAAAGGAAATAGGAAAAATTGCATCCAGATCCAATTAAGGGCAGTGGGTCAAGTGAAGAATACCAATGAATGTGCATGTTCCACAGTTTGTTATTCACAATAAATAATAGAATAATATTACACAGGAATTACATTTGAAATAAACCTTATCTAAACAACCACTAGGTGTGTTCCAGCTACACATCAAATTTCTGTGGCAATCTCAACAGTTAAAGCCATTGAATATACTTAACTGCAATTCTCTTAATTTGATACCCTTTAGTGAGCCAGTAGATCAAGAGTTTTCAAACTTGGCAAGTTTAAGACTTGTGGACTTCAACTCCCAGAATTCCTGAGCTAACATGACTGGAGGAGGAATTCTGGTTGAATTGAAACCCACAAGTCTTAAAGCCGTCAAGTTTGAAGACCCCTGCAGTAGATGCTTGGAAGATTGTGAAAGTTACAATTAACACCTCCAGGGGCTCTGAGTTAGGGAAGGCAGACACATATGTTGCTAATAGAGCATGTGACATCTTTAAAATCACAGTATTCAGAAAGGGGGTCTAAGGATGGCTCAGATATACTTTTACAATATAACTCAGCTGCATCTTGTGCTTTTATGTTGCAAGGTCTCAGAAATGTTCCCAAGCCACTGAGATGCCAAAAAGAATGAGAGGAAGAGGCTTGAGAAGAGGCTTGAAAAAGAAACAGCTTTTATTTTGGCCAAAGCAAAAGAACTGGGTGAAACTATTTCCATAACATACAGGCAGAATGCATGTAAGGAATAACTACTCCTCTATTAGTGTAGCCCAAAATCTTATATACATTTTTACCTCAAAGACAAAGTTTACCCAATCAGAGAAAAAGGTTCATTACCAATGTGGGTCTTTATCTTCAAAGCATTCTTTTTTCAGGCCCTGCCTCTGCTTGCTTTATCTATGGAGCATCCCTATAGCCTTGTTTTGGGGCAGTTTCCCTCCCTGGCCAAGTTATCTATGCAGCAGGATGCTTCCAGGTAACTCCTTACTGTGGTCCTGCTATCTATGAGGCAGGAAACTCCCTGCTCTGGTTACTTTATCTATGGAGCCTGATGTTCCTGGGTAATGGTTTTGTTTTCATTTTCTCTCCAAGGATATGCCTAGCTTTGAAGCCAAGAAGTGAGATAGCAAACTTTAATGTCAACCAGTATCAAGGCTACAATTTACCAAGCCAGAATTAATTCCTAACAACTAATTTCTAACAGTATACAGTAGCATAAGTAATTCATTAGCATAAGCAATTCATAACAAATAGCAAATATTAGTTTGATCACTATGCTCCTCCAATTTTTTTAAAGAATATCACAGGTGAATATATATTGTAAAGTTCTCAGTTATGTACAATATATGGGTCCATAACTGAAAAATTTACAATTATATTCACTCAATTCTTTTTGGAAGAAATATCCTTCTGGGTTCAGTTCAGTGGTGGGATTCAATATTTTTTTTTACTACCGGTTCTGTGGGCGTGGCAGGGGAAGGATACTGTAAAATCTCCAGCCAGAGGTGGTTTTTGCCGGTTTTCTGAACTACTCAAAATTTCCGCTACCAGTTCTCCAGAACTGGTCAGAACCTGCTGAATACCACCTCTGGTTCAGTTCCAAATGGGGGAAAACACACTGGAAACATGGAAGGTGTTTGGAAAGATGGTTTAATGGTGGACAGGATCACATGTGCCTTGGAGCTCTTGGGTGAAGAAAAGAGAAGAGATGCTGAGATTCCCGGGTTTTATACCCACTCTGGCTTTGAACTTTCCAGGTCACAAGAAGAGTATCCTGATTAGTTGCTGTCAGAGGTCATAGCTAGCTTTGTAGGTTGTCTGTATGCTAAGTTTAGTTGAAACTTGGTGGGTGGTGCAATGAAGGGCAATGAAATGGCTCTGCCTGAAGGAGGTATGTAGAATAGACTGGCCCAGGCCTTAATGGCACATTAACAAAGGTGGGAGGGCTGAGTTTCTGCCTCTCTGAGTTTCTACTTCTCTTTTAGGGGAAATATTCTGCCTTTTTAATATATCCTAAAATATTCCATTTTTCTAGGACAGGGGTGGGTTTTAACTTCCAACATTCACTTCCCTTCCCTTCTTCTACATGAATACTATTGGTATTTGAAAAATAGCTAGCACCTGAGTCAGCATTTAAAAGCCTTACCAGATTATTCTGTATCCCTTTTTCTTTTAAACTTAGTTCCATTCCTTATTATGCAGTTGCTATAAAGCATATTCAATTATCATCATGATAAAAAAGAGACAGCAAAATTCTGAATTTGCTTAAATTTGTTGATAAGCTATAGCTATACTAAACTTTAATCTCAGCTATGATTCATCTTTGTAAATCACTTTGGCAAATTATCAGCTCATAAATCAATTACACTAAATCAAGAACAAGTTTACAGATAAAAGAGAAAGTACTTACATAGCAATGACCTTTGAGACTGATACAAGTTCCTTGTTATTACATGATGTGGTATCTCAGTGGAGGGATTCAATTTTTTTACTACCGGTTCTGTAGGCATGGCTTTGTGGGCATGGCAGGGGAAGGATACTGTAAAATCTCCAGTCAGAGGTGGTATTTGCCGGTTCTCTGAACTACTCAAAATTTCCGCTACTGGTTCTCCAGAACTGGTCAGAACCTGCCGAATACCATCTCTGGTAGTATCTTCCCATAATATTAAATCTATTATGCTAAGCCTATAATAGTCTCATATTGGATGTCTCAAGAGGATGCAGAGCTGTAGATACTGTATACCCTTTTATCTGTATTTGAAGAAGCACAGATAGGAAGTGATGAAATATAATCCTTTTCCTAAATGAAGAGACAATATGTCAAACAAGTTAAATTCTTTAACAATATGCCAAAAAAGTTAAATTCTCATCAAAATAGCCTAGTGCAATGTAATTATCAGTCTCCGTATCTTTTTTGCCAATCACAAGTTAATTCTGAAAAAAACCAGAAAATATTAAGCTCAATAAATAATATTCCCTAATAATTATACAGTAAAGACTCCTCATTTTACCTCTCCTCCATATCCATCATTGCCATGCAGTTACTGATTTGCAAATAAATACCAAAATAACTATACTCAGGAAAACTATGCACAAAATACATATATTGAAAAGTATACATTAACAAAATTACATTAGGCCATAAATCAGTGGCAAAAATATGCCTAATTTTAAAAAGTGGACTTCTTTTTATATTTTTAAAAAATATGCATCCATTTTTGTATGAATGTTTGGGTTTTTCTTTTTACAGGCTAATGAAGAATTAGATAAAGGTAAATTTACCATCAGGTAAATAAGAAATTATTACAACTACATGCTTGTATCAGTACTATATCTAAACACAAATTCTATAAAACCAGGGTGACTGTTGAAATTTCAACCAATGTGTGAAGAAGAAATATTTCTGATCATACCCTCTTCTATTAGAAGGTTTCAGTATGCATGTTGAAAAATCATCACAGATGTACTGAAGAAAGGTACTATACATATGTGCACATACATTCTGCAAGGTCAAATATTGGTTTAGCACATCTGGATAATTCAGTAAATGGGAATATTTATCACCATGCCTAGTTCTTAATACATTTTCAAAAACTTGCTATATACTGAATTAAATGTGACTTCTGTATCCTATCCAAAATGTAAATATATATATATTTTTATAAATTTAAGTGTAGAATAATTCTATATTTACAGTAACTAAATTCATTGGATTAATAAATAGACATATATTGTATGCCATCTTACAAGAATGTTTGTCATTCAGTAGTGAAGATGAATTATATTTCTTTCCATAAATTCAAAAATGATGAAATGGAACATCTCATATTCAACATAAATTCTTGTATCAACTAAATCAAAATGTTGTACAACTGGAAAGTAATTCTGTACACTTACAAATGATGCAAATGAAAAACAGCCTTTTTATATTCTTCTCTCTTTTGTAAAGATAAATAAAAATTAACATCTCTAATTTGATAATTCTATGTTTAGAGCACTGAACATAGAGGTTACAAAACTCTGTCGGTGTTTTCACTTCAATAAAGCTTTGAGTGAAATACTCCCTCAAAACAAAATCATAACATGGCCTCCATCACTTCTAAACAGTGTGGTTTCTGACCATTGGGATTTATGCTGGGAAGCCACTTTCTTCAAGTCAGGAATGCCAGGAATGCCAGTCTTATCTTAACATTTCATGAGGTAAAACACATCACCTCTTTTGTACAAAGTAGAACATTCAAAGAGTGTGCCTAATCTGGACTACTTATAGCCCTGATTTTTTCTTAGAAGTATAAGTTGATACATTATCAATAGATACCAAATAATTTATAATGTTTCTAGAAGATATAGAACGACCTCATTCTGCCTTTCATTTAAAAGTTTAGCTACTGGGGTAGTTACAGAGAAGGGTCAATCTTTGGTCCCTGCAGATAAGCCACAGCCTCTAATCTCACTCTAATTAAGAATCACTGAACACATGGAAGCTACTTGGAAGAGTGTGAAAAGAATTATGTTACAGAACACCACTGATGTGTGAAATGCTAGGGGAAGTATAAAAAAAATTCTTGCAGGAATGATGAAGTGAAATAATATGCATAAGAACAAAAAATTCATACAAGTGATGATTTCTGAAAAAAAATGAAAAGAAAAAAAAATATATAAATATTATATCAGAGAGAAAACAATAATTGCAAGAATATAATGACAGAACAAAGAATGGTTGTAATAAAGAGGCTGAGAAATGGCAGAGTGCTTATGGAAATTTAAAAAAAACATTTTGCAAATGAAAGTGGCTAAACAAAAAGCCTTTAGCAGAATAATAGAATTAAGTATAATTGTGATTAAATTATTATATAGGGTGAAATTGAAATGAGAGAATGCTGAAAAGAATACTTTAGAGATTTGCATGGGAATTACAGGGATATTGATTCTTTTATGGTCTTTTGCAAGACTGTCAATATGATTTAATTTAAATGGACTTTGGGAAAGTGATTGGACTAATGGGATTTTCCATATTTTTTCTACTTGTTTTTTTCTATGCTGGGGCTCAGCTGATTGTTTGCTCTGTATTTTTTGTACTTCTTATACATTGATTATATTTATTTATTTTCTAGCCCATTTTGTAGTTTGGATTTATATGGGATACATTTTTATGCTTACTGTAAATACTCAGAGTCATATGTTGGGCAATGCAAACAATAATAAATATTAGTGTCTAAGAAAGTGTTTGGAAAAAAGAAATGTAATGCTTTAAGGATATTGGAAAATGGTAAGATTGCACATGGTATAACTGGAGAAATTTTAAAATGTGAAAGTGGCACTCTTTAGAATGATATATATGATTTCTTCATTGTATGTATAAAGACTAGATTTGCATCTGACTTCAAAGAAGAATGCCAATATTGTTTTTCTATACTAAGGGAATTGTAGCAAGAGTGAATAGAAAAACTACAGAAGAACTGGGGAGGGAATGGAAGTTTTACAATATCCTTCCCCTGCCAAGCCCACAAAGCCATGCCCACAGAACTGGTAGTAAAAAAATTTGAATCCCACCACTGCTGCGTTGATTATGGCAGATGTTTTGGGAGGAAGATATTGCTGGATAAAATAAATATCCAACTCTCCACAATTATGATTCAATCATTTGTTAAACCCATAAATCTATCTTAAGTATTTAGAACCTAGGAAAAAGATATTCAGGGGCCGGTAAAGTCTAATTTTGCTCTTTTCTCACAGGACAATATTAAATGTTACCATATAGAGCAGGGGTCGACAACCCACAGCTCTGGAGCTGCATGTGGCTCTTTCATCCCTCTGCCGTGGCTCCCTATTGCTGGTCAGTAAAAGAAAACAGAATGCTACACCAGGAGGAGACTCTATGGTGGGGGAATCATGTCAGAGTTTGTAGCAATGCAGCCAGCACACAAACAAATAATTCAGCAGGCTTCATTTATAGAAGAAACTTCTTTATATACTGTACAATACTATAAAGCATGATGCATGTATACACCCATGCAGCTCTTGCAAAATGGTAACAAGGACAAGGACAAGAAGCAGAAGCACAGAACAACCAGAACCCAGAAGACAGAATCTAAAATCCAAGGACAATCTAACTCTTATATACAGACCAGTTAAGCTAAGCCATGCCCAAGCTACAGGCCATCTCCCATGGCTTGCAACAGATCCTGTTTCTTAGTCACTAAACAGTTCCCATTGGCTGACTTGTTGTTATGGCTATCCCAGCTCATAATTTCTTATATATGACACTGGAATAGACATAAAACCAAATAACTTAATATTCTTCCTTTGGTGCACTCCATCCAATGGTTTGATCATTATATCTGCCAGATTGTCTTCTGAAGAACAGTGAAGCAAGCTAATTAATTTATGTTTGATGGCTCCACTTACATTACAATATTTAATATCCACATGTTTGCTTCTATTTTTTACTCTGTCACCTGTTGCCATTTTAATGCATTTAGTATTTATTTAATTTTTCAATCGCTTACAAGATACAGGTATAAGAATAAATATAGTTTTGAATACATGAAATAGATACTTATAAGAAAACTAAAAAGCAATAGGACAGGGACAGTAGGCACGATTGGTGCGCTTATGCATATCCCCTACAGGCCTCCTAGGAAGAGGGTGAGATCAATAGAAGACAGTCTAAGGTTAAAATTTTGGGGGTTTGGGGAAGAATCCACAGAGTCAGGTAGAGTATTCCAAACATTGACCACTCTGTTGCTGAAATCATATTTTCTGCAGTCAAGTTTGGTGCGGTTAACCTTGAGTTTGTATCTATTGTGTGCTCTTGTATTGTTATGATTGAAGCTGAAGTATTCATTGACAGATAGGACATTGCAATGTATGATTTTATATACTATACTTAGATCGGACCGGAGGCAGTGTAGTTCTAAGTTTTCTAGGTCTAGAGTTTCAAGTCTGGTGGCATAAGGTATTCTGCAATGATTAGAGGAGTGGAGAACTCTTCTTGTGAAATATTTCTGTACTTTTTCAATTGTGTTAATATCAGATACATGATATGGGTTCCAGACTGATGAGCTGTATTCAAGTATTGGTCTAGCAAATGTTTTGTTTGCTCTAGTTGAGTAGTGTAATATTATCAGAGAAGAAGCTACGTAGGATTAGATTAATAACTCTCTTTTTTAAAATAAAGTTTTATTTGGGTTTTTACACACACAAAATACAAGTAAAACATCTTTTTTGAAAATAGCATGGTCCCAGGTTGAACTTCTTTATACAGACACAAACTCAATTTCATGCTCATTTTTGTGTTCTATTCCATATCTTATACTATTCTACATTTTCTATATAGTTTTTCCCCTCTTTTAATTTTCTCAATTTTATTTTGATTATCTCAACTCAATTCAAATCATTATATTTATACTTTTGTCTGTTCTGTTTCAATTTCATATTATATTTTCTCATTAAACAAATTTTCTCCTGTAGTTACTAATTGGAGTATGACACCTTTATATCTTGTAATTATATCCATTCAACTCTTATTTAAACTTCAATATATACCTTAACGTTATGACCTTCAATATAATACATAATACATAACTTCCAATCGAATTCTGCTTGGTACATTCTTATAATACACACTATATATATATTTTTAAAAAGGATTATAAATATATGTAATTATAAACCCTCATTCCATTCCATTCTATCATTAATAATCATTAAAATCTTAACATCTTTAACATTTCTTTTCAATTAAATATCATACTTCCTTAAAGACACATATAATCTCCATAATTATTTTTTCCCTTATTTCTCTTCACGTATGTTTTGTAAATTATTAAATATTCATTTTGTTACATTTATTTATTGACAAGCATTCCACTGAATTACGATAGCTATATTATCAAACATTTTAATCATACATTGTTTCATATTTTCTAAAATTATTTCTGTTTCTAATATAACAATACTATCTTATGTACCTTTGCAGAATCCCTTTTTCCATTATTTTCACGCATTATCTCTAAATAGGCCCTGTTTCTCTATATTTTATTTCTGTCCTTTATAACTTCTTTTCCTTTATTTCTTCCCTCTCTTCTTCTCCCTCCCCCTTTTACCCCCTTGTCTCTACTTCTAATTCTCTCTTCTGCATTTCCCTCTTCTGTTGCTTTCTGATTTTATACTTATTTTTCACTCTATTTTGGGGGGGGGGGTGTTTTTCCCAATCTTAAACTTTCTATTCTCTTTCACCCCTTTCCTTTTTTTCCCCACCTAAGATTACTTGTTCATTAAAGATGGCTTCTTCTTTGTCGCAATCTTCTTGTTCTGCAGGCATTTCTTGTTGTTTCTCATAGTTCCAAATTTCCATTTCTAAGAACTGAAATACGAAACCAAAAGAACCTCTCCCTTCTTGTGCATCTTCTTTTTCCTTTTTAAATTCCATTTTCAGTTCTTCTAAAAGTGGAGCCATTTTAAACAGTTTTAAACAACCACCCAATTGATTTTAGTCATTTAAATGCAATAACCAAGAATCCAGAGATCACCAAGTAATCCAAATAGTCCCAAGCTGTTTCTTCTTATTTCTTTTTTCACTTTCTCTTCTTGGGGTTTTACTATTTTGTTGCGATGTTTTAGTTAAGATGTATCTTTTGGAAGTCTTGTTGAGATGTTGCTGTAAATTCTTTTTAATTCCAGGCAGTCTCCTCCCTTCCAAATCCTGCCTTTTTATTCTTTTTCTCTCCTTTCCTGTTTTCAAAAGCTTTTAATTATCCAGAAATCTTTATTATCCCTTTGACTTTTTATTTTCAGCATTAAATGCCTATTAATGTCAAAGTGGATTTTTTTTCCAATTTCTTGCTTAAGTCGCTTAGCTGTCAGTAGAGGAAGAGGAGAAAAAAAAAAAACCCAAATCCTTTCCCTTTTCTCTTTCCTTTGCAGCTTAGAAATCTTCTTAGGGAACAGTGTTATTGTTTTTTTTAATAGTTTCAATTCCAGGGTACCTTATTTGTTGCTTTTGCTGTTTGACCCGGTCAACCAAAACTTTCTCTTCTTATCTTCTTCCTGCATGTTCTTTTCTGGTTGAGTTCTTTGTGGTGGTCATTTCTGACCACCGCTACAACCGCCTTGGGAAAGGGAGTAATGGCCAGCTGGGGAGGAGAGATGCGGCTCTCCTCAACCCTGCAGGCTGTCTCCCCCTTCTTCACCACCTCTATGGAGTGGCTTAGCCCCAAAACCAGCCGGCTCGGGACACTCCAGCGGCGAGCACAGATCGAAACCACCCAGAGATGCGGTTTCGGTCTGTCGCCAAAGAAGCTCAAACCGGAGTCCCCTGGATTAGATTAACAACTCTTAATGCCTTTTTGGCTATGTAGTTACATAGTGGTTAATAATTGATTCTATGACTTTACAGATGACGCAGCATAAGGATAATGCAAGCAGCATTATCCTCAAACATCATTACACTTCATTTATTTTTACGTTTAAATCCTTTAACAGCTGTACATACCAAGCTGCCTCTGAACAAAGTTCAGATATAGCAATAAATTCTGCCTCCACAGGAGAAATGGCTACAGTTTTGTTTTCTGGACTTCCAACCAATTAAAGCCCCTCCAAATAATAACACAATCACAGAATTGGACTTTCTGGTTTTTACATCATTGGCATAATCACTGTCAACATAACATTTTAACTTTAATTCTTCAGAGACCTGTATTTGAAGACCCAAGTGCACAGTTCCCTTCAAATACCTGAGAATCCTTTTTACACCCATCCAATGCAATTGCATTGGTGCAGCAGTGAAGTGACTTAAGATCAGGGGTGGGATTCTACCAGTTCGTACCTATTCGCTTGAACCAGTTGCTAACATTCTAAGCAGTTCAGAGAACCAGTTGTTAGAAGAAATTACTAGCCTAATCCTGCAGGAAGGAAACATTCTGGTGTTGCTTACAGAAACTGCCTCTCTGTTAACCCTTATTACATTCTTGGCATGACTAGATTTCCTGTCTCTGGAACTTCTCTGGAGTTTTTTTCTCCTCCTTTGCCGGTACTTTGCTTGTGTGGAGTGACCATCTAAGGTTACAATGGCACTGGAAAAAGTGACTTATGACCATTTTTCACACTTACAACTGTTGCAGCATCCCAACAGGCATGAGAGGCTAGGCGAGGAGATGCATGCCTCGATGTGAGTGATAGAGTTGACCATGCCCAGCCAATAACATGACCACCACACCACGCCCACCAATTAAGCCACGCCCACAGAACTGGTTGTTAGAAAATTTGAATCCCACCACTGCTTAAGATGTTTATTGTAGAAGCTATGTCTGATCTGGACCACTGTGACAAATATAACTAGATCCCTATTGCTGACTGATATATCTTAAGCACAGGCTTCACTTTTGTTCTCACCCAAATTGTTATGGAACTCGATGAAATCAAGTTTGACACCCCTGTTTATATCTGTGATAGGAGCATGTGAATCGTTAGTTATAGTTGCATGTCATTATCTAATGAATAATAGTAATAGAAGAAAAACAGATATATTTTGGAAAAAAAAGTTCAGCTTCTAAATAAAGTGATCCACAGGAAAATTTATTTTGTTAAGTGACATGAATGGGCAGGAATGAGGCAAGGGCATACAGAAAATGTAACTTGGCTATTTGGTGATCTAAGAATAAATAAGAATTATAAGTTTGATTCGAAAAATGTCTAAGGTTTTATAAATTCTACAAAGTTTGACAAAACTATACATTATTTTCAGAGACAGTGTAATATTAACCCTTTAGGTGTGAAAGTATCAGGAGACAGATGAACAATAATAAAGAGCTTTATTAGGCTTTGGCAAAAAGGACCTCCCTGCTTATATGGCGGAGCCAAGGAGGACATTTTTCATAAGAAGGCTGGGGTTTATATACAGTTTCAAATATATACAGTCACTGCCCCTTTCCGGATTCACAATCTATCCAGCTACACAACACCCTACTATATTAGCATACCATCTGTTTCCTCAGCCTGTTTACCTGTTTCCATTTCCAGTAATCTTCATCATTTTTGGCATATTCCTGATCCTTTCTGGCACAGCCGCTACTATTGTCGTTAATTTTAACATGACACTGGACGGCGTGACCTGCCAAATATATGACCTGCTACAATGTCCTAACTAGAACATACAAAACA